AAAACTAGTGCTCAATGTACAAGCCAACGGCTGCTAATGAGAAATGAGAGACAGGAGCATTCGGCTTTTAGTTAATGCGCAAGCTGCAATTCTCATTAGCAGCCATTGGCATGTACATTGAGCAATATCTGACAAGAAAGGGTTGCTACGTTATACTCGCCGGGCGTAACCTCTTTGGTTTTAGAAAGGTTTTGCGAGCATTGGGCAACAGTGCCATGAATACAGTGAACTAGTATATAGCATGAAGTCGAGGTGGTTAAGGTGGGAAGTAGGTACGAAGCGCAAGCCATAACACAGTAAAAGCCGAATTCTCCTGTCTCTCATTCCGCATTAGCAGCCATTAGCATGTACCTTGAGCACAATCTGACAAGAAAGGGTTGCTACGTTGTATTAGCCGGGCGTAACCTCCTTTGTTTTAGAAAGGTTTAGCGAGCGTTGAGCCGCCGTGCCATAAATACAGTGAAGTAGTATATGTCATAAAGTCGAGGTGGTTAAAGGTGGGAAGTAGGTACGAAGCGCAAGCCATAAGAAAGTAAAAGCTGAATTCTCCTGTCTCTCATTTACCATTAGCAGCCATTTGCATGTAAGCTGAGCACTATCTAACAAGAAAGGGTTGCTACGTTATAGCCGCTGGCCGTAACCTCCTTGGTTTTAGAAAGGTTTTGCGAGCGTTGGGCCGCAGAGCCATGAATACAGTGAACTAGCATATACCATGAAGTCGAGGTGATTAGTGGTGGGAAGTAGACACGAAGCGCAAGCCGTAAGAAAGTGTGCGTGTGCCACCTCATGTTCAGTTCTTGGAATGTCCGCTGGATGGCGGTGCTTCTATATCGGGAATATATGATGAAAAAATGCGAGACGGTGGTACTTTGAGTGTTGAATAGATGGACGAACGGACACACAGACAGATGCATGTACGGACTCACGGATGGCTGTAGCGACGAATGGACGTATGCACGGATGCAGGGGTGGATGCATGGACGAACGCAGGGACGGACGCACACACGGACGTGCGGACGCACGAACAGACGCACGCACGGACGGGCGAAAGGACACACGGATGGTCACACAGACAAACGCACGGATGGACGGAAGCAAGAACGAATGGATGGACGGCTGCTTCGCCCCACTCTCCATCATTCACTCCGGGGATAAGCTGCCATTTTTTTTCTTATCTCTGTTTTTCTTTGCGTCTTTCTTGCCTTTGTTTATCTTTGTTTCTTTCTTTTTCTCTATGTCCTGCCTTCTATCATTTCCTTCCCCGCCGCGGTGGTCTAGTGGCTAAAATACTCGGCTGCTCACCCGCAGGTCGCGGGATCGAATCCCGGCAGCGGCGGCTGCATTTCTGATGGAGGCGGAAATGTTGTAGGCCCGTGTGCTCAGATTTGGGTGCATGTTAAAGAACCCCTCGTGGTCAAAATTTCCGGAGCCCACCACTACGACGTCTCTCATAATCATATGGTGGTTTGGGGGCGTTAAACCCTACATATCAATTCTGTCCCTTTCTGTCTCTTTCCTATTGTTTCTGTCTTTCTCTCTAGTTCTTTCGGCTGTCACTTCTCGCTATTTGTGTATTTCGCCTTTATATTTTATGCTTTGCTCTCTTCCTGGCTCCTCACTCTAACTCTCCCTTCTCCTCGCTATTCGAACGTTTGAGGTTTATTTGCCAGACCTGGTAATGCGTGAGACATGCGTCGTCATGGTGCTGGAGCAGAAGGGGTGTTTATCCACTCCTGGTTAGGTCTACCACGAGTACAACAGAGAACAGCAGACAAGATCAAAAAAAGCACAGACTCACATAGGCTAATCTTAATATATCGGAATATGGATGAATGACACAAAACTGATGTACGAGTTCCGTAGAGCACAATAAAGACCAATGAATGGAATACAAATCTATACACGCCTATTCTGTGCTCTACCAGCGTGCCTGATATCCAATGGTTTCAGACGCTCGCCTATAGATCATGGGTCCGTGCGGGCTCGAAGACGATGATGATGATGATGATGGTGATGATGATGATGATGATGATGATGATCTAAAAGCACCGCTCACACCCACTCTGGGAGACAGGCCAAGAAATGAGTGATCAACTAGAGGAGATCACGTGGTCGATCTCGTTCTTTTTCTGCTTTTCCTCTTCCCATGGCTCATACCCAAAGCAGCGGATTCGCAGAGAGGTGAATTTTTTAGAGGCGAAGCGTCTTATGGCGTGGGTCGTGTCGCTCCTCCGTATGTATGTATGTATGTATGTATGTATGTATGTATGTATGTATGTATGTATGTATGTATGTATGTATGTATGTATATATGTATGTATGTATTATGACGACTCGGTTGTAGCGAGGTTTATTGGCCGTGAACTCGGGAACGAACAAGCGCAACGGACCCGACAAAGAAGCGCTCGTGCCAAGCAGATGATGATTGTCAGCCAGAACATATGATGATGATTGACTGCTGTTCAGATGAGGATGAAGCGCATAATAGATGCCTACAGTATGTATGTATGTATGTATGTATGTATGTATGTATGTATGTATGTATGTATGTATGTATGTATGTATGTATGTATGTATGTATGTATGTATGTATGTATAGTAGTGACGCATACCCGCTCTAGAGTGGGTATTTGCCACAGGGGTTGCGAGATGGGAGATGGCGGTTCTTGGAGTGTTTACTAGATCGACGCATGGATGGACGCATGGACAGACGGATGGACACATGCACTTACGCGTAGGCGGATGGAAGCAAGAAAGAACGGACGGACGGAAGCACGGACGGGCTGATGACGCTTCGCACCACTCATCATCATTCACTCCGTGGATATGTTGTGATTTTTTTTCAGTGTTTTTTCACAACCTTTCTTCGAATCTCGTTCCACACAGAATTCAGCCCCCAGAATGTCTTCTTTTCTTTGTCTTCATTGCCATCTTTTCTCTTTCTCCCTCTGTACTGGTTGTTTCGCCTAAGAGAGTGATTGCATCCCGTGCTGAAGAAATCGGTGCACGTGTTCTGGGAGCTAAGCAGTAGAAGAAGATCACGACGATGAAGAACAGAACGAGAAGAGCACATGCTAGTTCATAATAATAATAGCATTCTGTTTCAGACCCACAAACTATGCCCAAAAACCTCCGCTTTTAAAATTATATTTAAATTTATATAAGTTAACAGCCCAAGTGTTTCACTAGTGTGAAGACAGATAATCAGAGAAGCAAGCGGCTTCGGGTGCGCGTTGAGAGGCATGTAAGGATCATATAGCCCCGAGCACTGAAATTCTTAATGCTTCAAACTGCTCCAAAACTCCCATCGACATCACCAGCACAGCCACTGCATGTGCATAATAGGCACGCACTGAGGAAGAAAAAGAAGCGTGGGTGCATGAGTGACCAGTAATTTTATCACTTGGCGGAACTTCATTTGGTTACTGCCACAGGGATGTATGCTCCGCTGTGTTTAACTACATCAACGCAACTAAAAGATTACCATGCTAGTGAACCACTACCTTTTCAGATCTTTAGTTTATAATTCATAGTAATGTCTTTCAAAAACAAAAGATGGTTTGACCGCTTGCTCAGCACACATTTTTGTTTTTCTGGTAGTATTATTTTACGCTACTTTTTCAGATTGGCTTCATTTTTAGTTTAGTTTCATTTAAGTACCCTGCCGCCCGGTTCTTGGCCCATCCCCCTTTGTGGGTAAGCGCCATCCATCACAGGTCATCAGCATCAGCATCAGCATCAGGTCTCGATTCTTGGGTTCTATCCTGTGGAAGAAGGCTTATCACTTGGGACTACGTGAACTAAGCCGTCTATATGCGGGACAATGGACACTTCGTCCGCCCATGTAAGCAGTTTTCTTCTTATGGCTTAGTAACAAGGGCATGGTTAACTGAGTGGTGTTCTACCTTAGTTATCTGGATGCAGTATGACGCCATGACATGGTGCAATGAAAAATGTAATTGGCGGCAATATTGCAAGCTTTCCGCTAATTACGCAACTATCTTTCAGCACTTTGGTGGGTCTAACTGCATTAATGTGTTTATTAGCCTTGTCTGGCAAGCTTGTAGCTTATCTCGTCACCAACATGTCTTGTATAATCTGTGTAGTGTGAAACAAAGGTTAAGTTGACACCCTTGAAGATCGGCCTGACAACCCGGGTCTCGTTATTGAAAACGGACTACATTGCTGTGTCTTAAAACATAATGGCTTAATTCCATAATACGGAAAAGGAATGCAAGTGATTGTGACACAATACGCGAACAGCGCTGCTCATACATTATGCAATGTCGAAGAGAACAGTTGCGTGGAGTGTCTCTAGCTACTGCGTAACGGTGAAATCGACTCTTAATACAACAAGCGTGAACAGTAGGGTGACTACAGTGGCCAAAACAAATGTTTTTAGACAGCATTGTGGAATTCGACCACCCTGAAACACCACTCATAAACAGCAAACGCATATTTTTTTTTGTAGAATGAACACTGAAGTCAACTAAAATGGAACACGCCATGCCAGAGCTTTGCAAAACATTTTACATATACAGTTCAAGCCTTTTACTAAGTAACCTAGTAATATCTCCAGCTAATGAATTAAAGCTTTAAAGCTAAAAAATTTATTTCTAGGGCTGTAAAATTTCAAACTAAACACAGCCTGCAACAATGAACGCTGCACCTACAAATTCTATTTTATACTAGGTAGGGCTAGCGGCTAACTTCTATAGCATCCAACTCGGCTTGACAAAACACTTTCGCACACGCACACGCACACACACATGACTGTGTGTGTGTGATGTGCGCGCGTGCGCGAGTTCTCAGGAGCTTCCGGTAGCTCTAATTCACGAGCGAATAATGAACTACATTACCATTTATTTCATTTTTTCCACGGCTGGATAAAGAATCATTGAACTTCTCGTTTTCTGAAGGGAAGTCCACCAGCTTGTGCGCTCAGGCCGCCAAAACAGTCGTCGCCGTCAACTATACCGGGAACTTCCACTTCCGGAATCATGACGCAACTTGCCAAACCTCCTGCGGCGCGCCTGTGCCATTTAGTTCGCAGGCCCGAGTATGACGGCTATGGTTTTAAACTGATTCCGGCCACGCAGGGCTATCTTCCACGGCTGTCAGCCGTAGAACCCGGAAGCCCAGCTGAGGCCGCTGGCCTGCGATCCAATGACACTGTCGTTGAGGTGAGATGCCACTTTGTCCTTCTCGACGTTAGATGTAGAACCAAGGAATATTTTTACCACAGAGCACACAAAAGCGTGTGTCTAAATGTTTCACCTGAACCTCGTCAGTGGTCACGCCTGGTGCCATATTTAATAACATTGTTCAGCGGCAGTACGCAAATGCAAACAGCTTTGAATAAGAGAAGAGGTCATTGCGTGTCCAAAAGCACATGTCTTGCCCGTGCTCTTTTGTTAACCGGTTTGAGTTCCTCCTTACACCTGGCTGCCTAGTGTTCTTACTCTGTGTGCTGAAGTGCTGAAGGTTTTTATTGATTTCAAATCTGACAAGGCTAATTTTTGACATCCCACTTTCAAATGATTAAAAAATATATACAATAGCCAGAAGCAAAGGAAAATTCTGTTAATAAGTACCGTGGTATGTCCTTTCATAAAGATTTCTACAAAGTTTACTAAGATCAAGATTGAACATGTCAAAAGCTCATGCACTCGTGGAGTAACACTGCCTACGGTGAATTCATGCGTTAGAGTTCACCTGTATTTCGTGCCACGCATCTACCAAGCAGGTAAACGGGGTGATCTTGGATGGCCTCGGACATGAAGATGTGGTGCAGCTCGTCAAGTCCACACCTAACGAAGCTCGACTCTTGGTCGTAGACGACGAAACCGCTGCCTGGTACAAGAGGCGCGGCATCGCCCTTCGCGGCGACAACCTCAACGTCGTTCGCACGAGCTCCAAAAACTCATTGAGGAAGGTTCGCTCGAAGGGCAGAACAACCTCCGGGAGCATAAATTGGTCATCAGGAAGCCTGACGTCAAGCGTAAGCGTTGCATGTCTGACCGGGGAAGTTTATGCCCTCAAGTGCGCTGACTGGTAATCGTAGTGACCAATAGGACGCTGGCTGTCAATCAAAGAACAGTGAGTCACACAAATGGAGCCGGAGGTCTTGAATGCTAGCTTTGAAACGTAAATTTCAAGAATATCTTCATTCGAACTAATGATGGAACTTTCGTAGATCTTACAGCAGGCGAAAGCATATCTGTTTCATGTGGCCTTTTAAAAGCCTCCAGTTAGTGCATTAACCTACTACTAATCTTTGTTGCGGTTCAGCTTTCCTAAACCACAAGAAGAATATAAAAGACGTCGTAGCAGATGTTTTTGAAAATGTCGACCACCTAGATTTTTTTAACGTACACCTAAGTCCTATACCGGCCTCTAGCCTTCCCGCCTCTATCTAAAATGTGCCTCGCATGCCCAATATTCAACCCAACAACCTTCAGGTCACCAGTTGAGCACCATAACCACACAATGGCCGTTGGCGCGTAAGCCTCTAACGTTTAGAAAGCGCTAAAACAAACACCATTCAGAACAACTAAATGTCAACCTGCTGTTGTGTGCAGGTCATCTAGGCTCTGATATACGAACAAAAGACAGCTTTGATGCTCCGCTATAGTAGAGTGCTTGTAAAGCATTTCCACGTTTTCCAGCAGCTGTAAGTGAAGCGTCCGTCATCAATTTTTGAGCATACCTACATAGGTTTCTTGCAGCGTTAAATTACAAGTGTTCAAATTGTGCACATTTTTTTTTCGCGTACATATTCGTGCTTAATCCTACCACGTATCGACTTCTGTATATAAAATATCGTCCACAGACGGACACTTCGAAACTATATGTAGACAGCAACCTCCAAACAACCTTTTCTTTTTTAGAATTACTAAGCTTCGTTTCGATAAATCCCGAAAACATCCGTATATTCGTGTGTCATATAAGATGCTGCAAACGCACAGTGCTTAATCAAAAGGAGGCTGAGCAGTCAGGCTAGAGGCTTACACTGCACAGTTGTATATTGACCTTTATTAGCTAAATAGCGCTCCTATAAGCTGTATTTCTTCATAAAAGATTGCGCTTTCTCTTAAAAAATTGATTGTACCGCATGTTTTTCTTCAAAGAATACTAACACTCACATATGGAATCAAGTTATCAAGGCATCATGATGTCCGCCTACTCTGCGAGCTAGGAATAAACAGTGTGCGATAATCTGCAAGTCGGCTTTCCTGTACGGCTTATTTTCCAACCAACAACTCTCCTTCACACACTGCTTTTCTCTCTCATTGTGCAGCGAAGGCACACGAGCGCGCAAGTACAACAAAATGTCACCTCTCCGAATTCCAGCGAGGCACGCGAGCACGCGGCTACAACACAATGAGCGAGAAAAGCAGTCTGTGAACTAGAGTTTTTGGTTGGAACAAAAACCTTGCAGGAAAGCCGTCTTCTAGATTATTGCAAACTGTCCATTGTGAAGCTTTGCGGTAAGGAAATCTGTGACAGATAGGCAGACCTGCGCGCACTTCCATTGAAATGACAAAATTTAAAAAAAAAAGAAGTCACAGCTGTGCAGCAAAGGCGAAGCAATGAACGCAGCAGACACAATTTAAAAGGTCACGTGCAGAATGGACACGTCCCCGCGTTTCTCCCGCACAAATTACGCAAGAAACGTACTCACAGGTACGGATGCACGCGAACAAGCGTCTCGTTTGTTACTTCGCTGAGTCTGAAAATCGCGCGCTTTTCGTGAACGGAGACTGCTATGATTGCAGTGACTTTTGCGCTGCCGGTAACTACAGCAGAATTGTTCCACGTAAAGCACGAGGCCAGCCAAGGCGTACGATCCTGCCCTCCTCACCACCGCTAGATAAGGGTGCGTGAGGGAGCCTAGCTCCCCTTTTCTAAGCCGCGCAAAATACGAGTAGGAGATTAGAGTGGGCCCCACGGCGCGATGTGCCGACGTGCGTTCATTGCGCCATCTTTCAGGTAATGCTGAAAACACCGCAGCGGTAAGTGGTAGATATAAATTGCTTGCCGCTTGAACGGTTCAGAACGTTCTCCGGGGTGGCTCAGTAGTTAACACCTCACCTTCACGGCGCAGAGGTCCCACGCTCGATTCTGCTTGCCGGAGTGTTTTTTCCTGGATGTTTAGGGGCAAAGCTCCTTAAGGCGGGGGCTGTGCGTCCCCTGTATGTAGCCACCTCTCGTTTAGTTCTTGCAGTGTTCACTAGATGACGGTACTTGTAGCTGCTGATGAAAAGACGCAAAATGTTATAAACTAGACGCCGGTACTTGTTGTTAATGATGGAAGATGTGAGATGTTATAAAATAGGAATCAGGTCACATATGGCGCGTGTCATTGGTGGAAGGCAAACGTTCGATTTAGTGCGGCGACGTACGCTAGGGAGAGCGTTGTAATAAAATCGAGTGGGCAAAATGTACGGAAGATTCATGGTTTACCAGGTTTATCTCCGGAGCTCCACCCACTCATCATCATTCACTTTGTGGATAAGGCGGCACTTTTTTCTTTCTTGCGTTTTCATATAGAGATAAGAATGCATATACGGTGCAAGACATAGACGCCGACGTCGAAGCCGGCGGCAAAATCCAGCCGAGAGAGTCTATATATTTGCTATCGCAATTAAAGAGAAGTGGCAAGACATAATTCTGGGTCGAGGTCCACCTCGCAATAAAACAGTATATTTTAACGTGAACACAACTATTCACTGTACACACTAATTTTTTGTTCTTCCCAAGCCAGAGGAAGCGTGTCATAACAACCTCTAATTTACTCTAATTGAAAAGCTACGGCAAATGCAAGCACGGTTCAAACCTCAAAATTACGGTATAGAAGGTAATGGTACTCAGCTGTTCCCTCTGTTTAAATTATTGAATATATGAGCTGATGGTATTTAGCGTAGCTGAATTCAAGAAAGCACTTTTATATTACTCTAATTGAAAGACTACGACAAGTTCAAGCACGTTTCAAGCCTCACAGAAGGTAATTGTAGCCAGCTGTTCCATCTCTCTAAATTTATAAATATATGAGCTAATGTGATTTGGCGTAGCTGAATTTGAAAACCCGGAGATCCTAGTTAAAAACTTGAATACGTGCCCTAATTAGATTTCGATATTCAAAGCAGCTGAAGGATCGCAAGGCCTTTTAGTTTCACTAATGTATAGGTTTTCAAATGACGCCTGTCACACTTGTTGACATTGTTTATTCAAAGTGAAGATAGAGAAACTGCTTTATAAAATATGACGATTAGAACAAGAGAAATTGAGGAATGAAGTTTGTTTTCAGCTCATGTCTAGAAAATATTTTCTTGTTTTTACTACACCATTTTTAGACGAAAAATCATCAGGTCTCGCACATTGCAGAGGTAATTTACTGCAATGCATTGATCAAGTAGCAGGCCCGCGAGGCGGTGGTCAGGCAAGGTCTTGACGTCCCCACGCGGGAGACCTAAGGCCCGGTTGGCGAAAGCTCTGCCGGACTTCCAATAAAGCTGTTACCAACCAATCAATTGATCATGTAGCAGCTTATGCCTTATTTGTGTTTCTTTGGACCAAGTGTTAGCAGGCGTATTGATGGAAATGCATAAGTTGAGTAGTTGTGCGTATATCGCGGGCTCAAAAAGCAGGTACATTGATCTATTATGTTGAGAGTACATGTTGGTATGACATCACGTTGGCTTTCATGTTAAAGCGCGGACGTCGCGTTTATCACGAAGGTGCGCAAAACATGGTGTGATGATATGCATATGGTCTGGTCTAGGGGTTTTAATATGGAAAGTAACTGTCAAGAAAGATAGATAGATAGATATATGAACAGATAGATAGATAGATAGATAGATAGATAGATAGATAGATAGATAGATAGATAGATAGATAGATAGATAGATAGATAGATAGATAGATAGATAGATAGATAGATAGATAGATAGATAGATAGATAGATAGATAGATAGATAGATAGATAGATGTGTGAGGTTTATTGTCCCAAAACTACCACATGATTATGAGAAACGACGTACTGCAGGGCTCCGGAAATTTCGACCACCTGGGGTTCTTTAACGTGCACCAAAATCTGAGCACACGGGCCTAAAACATTTCCGCCTTCATCGGAAACGCAGCCGCCGCACCGGGATTTGATCCCGTGACCTGCGGGTCAGCAGCCGAGTACCTTAGCCACTAGACCACCGCAGCAGGGCCAGATAGATAGATAATATGCCACAAAAGCCCAAGTGCCTCTGGTTCACCAAGAAATGCCTAGCATTTAAAACGATGTTGTGTACCAACATCTTTTTTCTAGCACTATTTCTTTTTTTTACTTCACTATCTTTCGTTATATACACAGGAGCTTGCGGGGGGTCTTCGCTTGTGCTACCTGCGCAAGTGGCCGGACTATGAGGGGTACGGCTTCAGTCTCCGAGAAGACGAAGAGAACTTTTTCATCACGGCCGTAGTCCCCGACAGCCCCGCCGAGCTTGGTGGACTTCGCAATGATGACAGGCTCATCGAAGTATGCACACAAGGGATCATGTGGATTTCTTTCATAGGTCGCCACCTGTGTCTTTTGGCTTTCCTGTATATGTTGGCGCGCGTTGCACGACGTACAGATTCCCTCCCGTGGCAAGCCTCCTGGTTGTCTTGAAAAACTTTTTATGTAAATCGTGTGAGGCGCCTAAAGTGCGTGGATGTACAGTGAAGGATAGTATTGATAAAAACAATGTTTTAGAGAAAGACGCCTAGTAATACGAAACTTGTTGGAAAACAGAGAGGCGTAGCTGTAAGCTCGCAAACAGCAATAGTAGCCTCGAATGCTCCGGATTAAAAAGCATCGCATGGAATAATTGTACTGCGCTCCTGTTCTACCTAGAAGGTATCCCGCTCGGCCAGTGTTTCAAGGGAGATTTCTTTCACGGTAAGAGATAACACATGGAGAATACATGAGCCGGATAAAGGTAAGGCTTGTTCGGAGATGTGCATGGGTTATCTAAAATATTAGCCAAACTTTGAGCTTAACACGTTAAAACATGCACTAACTAATAGGCGGAAACGCAAGCGTTTAGCAGAACCAAAGTCCTAATGCTAGTCCTATAATACAGAGCTGGACATATTGCGAGGTTATTGTTTGCACCCATGTACTTTGCAACTGTGCAGGTGAACGCGGTATCAGTGGAAAACAGGAGCTACCAGGAAATAATGTCGCGCATCGGCAAGGAGCCAGACCAAGTAGACTTGCTGGTCATCGACCGTGAGACAGACGAGGCCTTCGCGAGCCGTCAGCAGAAGCCCAGTGGTCAGGCGGACGGTGTCCTGAGGCGCTGGACACCAGCCCGACGACCTCGGTTAACATTTATGAAAACGAAAAAACAGGTATGGCAAGTCGTTATTAATATTCCGTGGGGTTCTGGCTCTTCCAATAAGGTATATTTATGGTTAACTAAGACATAACAGTAGCTGTACGTAAGTCACAATTTTCAGTCCTGAGCCCCGTATTTAGGTTTCGGTTGTTGCCATGAAACACCTTTTGACACATAGTAACCAAGCGGGCTCATATGAGTTATCCTCATAGCATTTTTTATGGCTTTCATTTCTATATATCCCTATTTTTTTTTCAATTACAGACGCCCAAAGTAGAAGCCGCAGGCACTGAGGGATTTGTGATTCCACACGCCCTTGAATCGGCTAATGACGCTGAACATGACAAGGCTATCAGCGAAGAAGACCTCGTCGTGAAGGAAGGCGTGGTCAAAAGTCATTGGCGACCACATGTTCCTGCCACCCAGTCCATGTTCCTGAACTGCGCCAGTCCCATTCCTACCCTGAGAAAGGACAACACCAGTAACAGCCGATACTCGTCGATCAGCGTCGGGTCATCGGAAACCATGTCACCTACTGTTAGTACTCTGATGTATTTTTAATATTTCTAGACATTCGGTTCCACTCTGCAGGCATTTGTTAAGAGAAAAGCCTTGTGTGCCTCAAACAAACATCTCCGAAACAGCTGCCACTTTCTTTTTACGGCGTTTCAGCGACTAGAAAAAAAAAACATCGTTGTTCCCTCCACCATAGGAGCGTATCTATAAGATAAAAGCGAGCCATGCTGTCGCAAGAGCACAATTGATTGCTGAAAACGCTATGCTGTGATGTATGAGAACGTGCACAGTATCTATTGGCTTTTGCCATCTATTGGACAATTTGTGGTAAATAACGGTGACGCCTTGGAGCATCTAAACCACAATGACTAGAGCCAAATATCATGGTTCCACCCTTCCGTTAACTGAAGTACACAAAATACATGACAACTATACATGTCCAGGCATACACACCTTAATAAAGCATACGCCCTATTCTGCACAAAGGTGGCATCAGCAACCACATAACACTGGTACTCGCCTTTCGCTCATTAGAAGCGTCGTATTTTGACAAAGGAAACGCGAAAGATTCCGCCCCTGAGTAATGGTGTAACCAACCCATCCGCTCATGCATATGCTCGCAAGATTTTATGAATGCGAGGCAGAGTTCGTAGCTCAAACTGTGAATGCGGGAAAGCGTTCCGCTTCAAGCTGGCGTTGGGCGCCTAGATGGCAGCGCTGTTTCATGACAAGTAACGCTTCCAGAACTTCTCGTCTAGGATCGTAAACGGCGACACCAGCTAACACCAGCCATGCATGTTCATTGCGAAAGGGGGAACTTGTAAGAGGTGAAGGGCACGTCTGTGAACATCAGCATCGGTAGCGCAGTGGAAACCGCTACCGCCACCACTTGTCACTGACTGGAAGCTTGAAGGCTCGATAATCTTGTCATTCAAATGAAAGCAACTTTACAGGTGAAAAGCCCCTAAAGCACGAAGATTGTCCGCTGTTCATCGTCACCGCTACATTAGGTATGGCCACGCTCGGGTAACATGTGCTATTGTCGAAACTTGTATAAGAAGTGCGGTTTATCCACTGTAAGAAGTGCGGTTGTGTGCCGTATTTCGATAACACTTGCGTGTTATATCGGGACAGAGATTTATTAAAACGTTTGATAGTAGAAGCTGCGGAAATGGCACGTGAAGATTTTGAGCGAGTTAGTGCACCCTCTATCTAGCTCATGTGGAAATAACTTTGTTTTTTAGATGGTTTGATGAAGGATAAATAATGTATGGGACAGACACGTGTGCTTTTTGTTGGTCTGCCTGTCATTATTATTATTTTTTCTCTTTCACGACATTTATAAACTCTGACGTTTGCAATAAACGTTTAGTTGTAGTTAAGCGCTTGAGTTGTTTGTTCTGGTTAATAGCGGCTGTGCTTCCTACCGAGATGGATTCATACCAACTGGCCCGATACAATTGTTTATTGTGCTACGCAAGACGCTCAGCGAGAACTGCAATGTACTGGAATACTATTCTAATACAGTATAGCTAGGGTCTACTAGGTTTTGTTGAAAACCGAAAATAAGGGACACCAAAGCAGGCTCTTCAAGCATTAAATGTGGGGTACCACGAGTCAAACGCCTCACCAGTTTCTAACGGAATGTCTAAGTCTTTATTATATCGGCACGCAGGTTTTCGCCGGCAAGTCCTTATAGGAATAGTGTAAGCCACACTAGTAAAAACCTATTTCCTCGCAGAGCTGTGTTCCTTCAAGTTTCCCATTATAGCAACACTGTCAAACATAACGCATCAGAACCATCTAGACCCTGTTTCTTCGTTCATTTTCTTATTGGCAACGACTACGCAAAAATACTAGTAACAGAGTGGTGAAAGTTACTCTCATATTAAACATAATCATTTAGCGCTGGCTGTTTTCAGGTTGCTTCTCCAACTGCCTTAACGAAACGAAAAATCAACTCGAGTCACCTGTATACAGCTGCAGTGCAAACGGCTTGACACGGGCAACTACCGTGAAGGTCATACGTGTTTCACCATACTTAACATCACCTGCACCAACTTGCAGGAATCTGCGGATGGGCTTCGTCTCTGCCACTTGTCCAAGTGGCCAAACTTCGAAGGCTACGGATTCGCCTTGAAAGCCGAGAGGCTTCGAGATGGCCAGTTCGTTGCACACGTCGACCTCGGCAGCCCAGCTCATCTGGGCGGGCTGCGGAAAAGGGACAGGATAGTCGAGGTAACCTTTTCTTATTATATTTTAGGAGTAAAGACTAACATTCTAATGGAATGAAGCAACCTAAGCGTCATTTTTAGAGTCACTGATATAGCCGTTACATAAAATTTATCTCTACGCACATGTTTATTAACGGGAAAATTGTCGCTGCATCACTAAAGGCAAAAAGTGACTGTTGGTGTTCGCATCAACATGCTTTTAAACGATGGAGGTAAAAATCAACTGGCGCGCCTTCTGGCATCTGACTTAAATAAGTAATAAAACAATTTATTGAGTTCAAGAAAAAAATTGACAATAACCATAACGTAACTTCGGGTAATTGAGTTGTAATAGAACGTAAAGAGCCCGAGGATTGTAGGAAAGAAATCAGTTAAAATAGGTAGTAGTTAACAGTATTTGACAGTGACGTATAGTTATGCAACGTACATTCGCGCGTTTGGAAGTAAATGCAAGACTACGTTGAAAGGATAAAGACCTTTAAAATATTCAGTCGTAATGACTGCCGCTGTCAGGCTGTCTTCACCTGTCAGTCTTCACATAGTCACGCAGCGCGAGCTCTTTCACGTTACGTGCAAATACATCTATGTATTAGTAGGAAAACCATGGTGCTGCATGTAGCAGACATCTGTAAGCGCAAGATCGCGTCAGTCGCAGAAAAGATCATCTTGAAGACTTCTTCTAGAGATTAGCTAGATTATACAGCCTCTGAGACGACTTCTATGTGCGCGCTCTTCTCGGAAGGTATAGCTTTTTTGTACGTGTTGTTTGCATGCATCTATTAGCTTCGTGTAAGCTGCACCACCAGAGCGGCCAGCACATGATGCCACTCTGTCTATGCACACATCTTAAATAAAACATGAGTATCGTTGAAAGATCGTAAAGGTTTGTTTTCAAGTGATACTATTGGTAAGCACGTGACCACTTTCCTAATGTTTGGTGAACGTGGGCGTGAAGTGATAGGCTCGTCGCACTGCAATACGTCACAACACAACTGTCCTATCATGGGTATAGATTACCTTATTATGACTATAGAATACTTAGCAGAAGTAAACATATAGGTAACATTATCAAAAGACTCGCAGAACAGTAAAACTGCAATAAATTCACACAACTACACATACAGTGCAGAATGTTACATGGTAGTAGTTCCACAGAACTTCACTCCGGATGGCATGAACTGAGAAAAGAAAAGAAAAATACTGGCTACAATTACTGTTCCACTTTCGCGCGAATTTTTTCCTACAGTTTACATCGCACTTTCACGAAATGTCACAAGCAGTTGCCACAGCTACAAAAAAGCACTTTTAGGTGTCTGTTGGAAGCTATTAACGAGGCATGAGTGTTTATTCAGAAGTTTACGTCCTAGCTCTAGATAAAGTATATTTTTCTACCTTTACCGCTTCTCTCTTATTCTGCTCGGTACAAGAGCTTTATTGATTGATTTGTGGGGTTTAACGTCCCAAAACCACCATATGATTATGAGAGACGTCGTAGTGGAGGGCTCCGGAAATTTTGACCCTCTGGGGTTCTTTAACGTGCGCCCAAATCTGAGCACACGGGCCTACAACATTTCCGCCTCCATCAGAAATGCAGCCGCCGAA